GGAGGAGGAGGAGACCTCTCCAACAAACACTCCAGCTGGGGAAACGTGTCGAGCTAGGGGCTGACCCCAGCAGCCGCTCAGCATGATCCGGTGCACGATGAAGTTGGATCGGTTGCTGCTGTAGCCGGTGGAGGCGCATCCTAAGCTCTTGCGGTCGCATTCGAAGAGCAGAGGAGCCTCAAAGGGAACGCGAGCTCCTGATACGCTTTCAGCCGTCTCTCCTCTTCCTCTGACCACCGCCTCCCCTCCGGCCACATAACCATCCCCCCTCCTCCTCCTCCTTCACCACTGCCAGCCTTGGCTTCTCATCGTTCTATCCCGGTGCTGCCTCCCTCTTTTGAACCTACTCCCTTCGCTCCATCGCCTCCTCTTCTTCACCTGTCTTGAGCTTCTCCAGCATCTCCACCCAGCAGGCGCTGACTTGAGCATCGGTGGAGGAGAGCGAGACATTCTCAGGCGAGGGGATCATAGCGACGTAGAGGATGACAGAGTCATTTGACTGCGAGAAGTTTCAGCACATTCTCCTGCTCTTGCTCCTCCTGATCCTCCTCTTCCTTCTCCTCGTCATCATTATAATCCCGCAAATCATCATCATCACCACCAACACCACCACCACCAGCAGCATCTCCATCATCATCATCATGATCTCCTCCTCCTCCTCCTTCCTCTCATCTTCATAGCCCTCACCCATGACCTCCTCCTCTTACCGGGATCGTGAACGGCTGTCCAACGGGATTAGCGTCCCATCCAGCTTTGATCGCCCATTTCTCGACGCTGACAGGATTTGACGTCTCGCTCTCCGCCCCTTCGAGGCTCAGCAGTTGGCTCGCCTCCTGCAAGATACTTCAGTCCCCTCCAACGATTTTCCTCTTAGTCTCTGCTACACTGCCTACAAGAGCCATCGACTTCTGCCTTCTCCCTCCCTCCGTCTCCTCCTCCTTGTTCCCTCCTTCCCTCACGCACTCACCAGAGAAAGTTTGCGGGCTTGCGAGCTCCGCACTTGCTCATTCAGCTCGGGGATGATGTTTGGAACACTGCCGGCCTGCGAAGATTTCAATTGAGACATCGCATTTGTCATCAACATCACCACCACCACAAGCACCACCACAAGCACCATCATCATCTCCATCAGCAGCAGCGACAACACAGCCATTGCCATCAACAACAACTCCATGTATCATCTCGGATCATCTCACCTGAACGATCAATCTGAGAGACGAGAGAGGTCTCAGCGTAATGGCTTGACTTGTCGTGTTCTTTAACACGATAGCTGAGATCTGGATTCCTTGTGCCTGTGAAGAAGATGAGCAGAATGAAGATGAGGGGCCAGCAGGGGGGAGGGGAGATGGGGAAGGAATTTGGATGGGAGGGAAGGAGGAGAAGAAGGAAAGGAGAGGAGGGTAAGGGAGGTGAGGGGAAAGAGAGGGAAGGGAGCGAGGAGGAGAGGAAACGAAAGGGAGCTTGAACGGAGAGCAGGGGGAGGAGGAGAAAGGAGCTCCAACCTGTGCCAAGATGATCTCGTCTATGTAGGGCTGAAGGTTAGCCTCCTTGGGCTTGAACAGCTCTATGAAGTCCGTGCTCTCTATACCTCCCATGCCTGGCAACACTGAGCGGATGGGCTGCTGTGAGCTGCTGAGAGGAGGCGTTGTGGACCCAGACACTGCTGACGGGCTTCCTGCTACTGCCTGAGTAGGAGAGGAGGAGAGCGAGGGAGACAAAGCCTTCTCCGTGTCTGCAAGGACAGTTAGAGTGCACAGAACTCAGGAAGAGAGGCCAGGAAGTGTAGTGAGGAAAGGAGGAGGACAAGGACAAGGACAAGGACAAGGACAAGGACAAGGACGAGGACGAGGACGTGGACGAGGAGGAGGAGAAGGAGGAGGAAGAGGAGCAGCAGCAGAAGCAGGATCAACCTGAATGCGGCAAGTTTTCCACTGTGAGCAGGGAGGCAGTCTGATTGAACGACTGCGACAGGGAGAAGGATCCGGTCGCCGACCGGCTCTCCGGCCTCTTCTGCCCTTGAAGAGCAGCGGTGACTCTACGGGAGGAGGAGGAGACGGGGCTCGTGGCCCCCGAGCTCGGGGAAGAGTCAGGAAGGCTGTTGTAGCTTCCTCGCCCCGAGTCTGTGAGGGGAGATCATGAGCAGGTGGAAAGCGGCGAAGAGAGAAAGGGCAGGAGAGAGGAGGAGAGGAGAGCGAAGGAGAGGAGAACAGAGGGAAGGGGAGGAGAGAGGAGGAGAGGAGAACAGAGGGGAGGGGGGGGAGGGGAGGGGTGGGAGCACAGGGAAGGAGAAGATAGAAGCGAAGGAGGAGGAGGGAAAGGTGAACAAAAAGAGGATGGAAGAAAGAAAAACGGGATGGAGAGAAACATAAACTTGCCGAAAATGGCGATCTTGTTAGGAGTGCCAGAGGAGTAGCCTTCGCTGTACGCTGAGCCCTGGGAAGAAGCGGTAAGAAGACAAGATGAGATGATATGGCAGACAGAGACGACGAAACGAGGAGAGGAGAGTTGGGGAGGGGAGGGGAGAGGAGAGGAGCAGATGAAGGACAGAACAAGACAGTAAGAAGGCGGAATGACTCACAGCTCCAAAACCAACTTGACCATTCAGGAGCGGAGGGTTCAACAGCAAGTCGACATAGCCGGGAACGACGTAGTTGCATCGCATGTTGAGACAGGGCCACTTGCCCTTGTCGTTGAAACTTTCGATGAACATGCTCTGGGTCTTGTCTACATCGTATGTCTTCCAGACGGACAGCAGGGAGATGGTGGAGTCAATGACAGAGAAGAAGGAGGCAGGAGGAGGGCTGTCTGACTGGATGACACCTTCTTCTGCGAAGTGCAAGATGAGTATTTCTTGCTTCTCCTCGTGCGACGACCTGCGATGGTGCATGTCAGAGTGCTGAAGAGCGCGTGGGAGAGGAAAGGATAGAGAGCGGGACAAGCAGGAGCAGAAAGGAAGGGAAGGCACCAGGAGGAACGAGGAGGAACGAGGCAGAACGAGGAGGAACGAGGAACGAGGAGGAACGAGGAACGAGGAGGAACGAGGAGGAACGAGGAGGAACGAGGAGGAACGAGGAGGAACGAGGAGGAACGAGGAGGAACGAGGAGGAACGAGGAACGAGGAGGAACGAGGCAGAACGAGGAGGAACGAGGAGGAACGAGGAACGAGGAGGAACGAGGAGGAACGAGGAGGAACGAGGAGGAACGAGGAGGAACGAGGAGGAACGAGGGAGGGGATGGGAAGAGGAGAAGATCAGAAGAGAGAAGATGACTGAGAGATCAACAAGAGGATGTATGCTTGTTGATGTCAGGGACACGTTCTCGATCCTAAACAGCATACCAGAATTGATTGGCAGATAAGTTTGCAACAATGAGCGGCTCCAGAAAGAGGCCGAACTCACTGCACTTGTACACGATCTCCACAACCTCCACACTCTTCCCTTCCTCCTCCTGCAACAACTCGTGAGGGAGACAACGGCTCTTCCCGCCTCCTCCTCACCTTCATCAGCCTCTCATAGTCCTGATAGTCGACCAACTTCTTGTCCTGCAGGTCTTCGCACCTCTCCAGCAAGCTCGACAGCTGCGACACGTCAGGTAAAGATCAGTAAAGCAGCGCAAGACCTCAGAAAACTCTTGCTCGAGCTCCGCCACTGAGATCAGTCCGTCCCCTCTCACGTCCAGTTTGCTGAACAGCTCCTGCAACAGACGAGTCATTCATATCCCTCCTCCTTCTCACTTTCCCCCCCTCCCCTTCCCCTTCTCCCTCATCTCTCTCCTCGCCCGTCGGCTACTTCTCACCATAACTCTGCCCCATCCCCTGCCCCTTTTCTGCACTCCTCCTCTCTTCCTATCTCCTCTCCTCTCTCCTCTCATCCTCTCTCCTCTCTACCCTCCTTCTCTCGCCCTCCACCTTCGTCAGCCGCTTCTTCCTTCCATCAAGCTCTGAGCGGCGGTAGGAGACATGCACTCCAGCAGGAGGAGAAACGGCGAAACGGAGAGGCAGGTGATCGCTATGGTTGCTGACCTGAAGGGGAGAGTGAGAGAAGGAGAGGAGAAGAGAGCAAGAGGATGATAGAAGAGCGACAGCGAGGAAGGAGAGCAGAGGAGAGCAGAGGAGAGCAGAGGAGACAGGAGGGGAGAAAAGACAGAGAACATGGCTGGAAGGAGGCCAACATCGTGAGGGCTAGCGAAGAGGAGGAGGAGATGAAAGAGGTGGAGGAGGAGGTGGAGGAGGAGGGCGACGTTGAGGAGGGAGAGGAGGAGGAGGAGGAGGAGGAGGAGCTTACTGTGAAGGAAGCTTTCATCGTGTTGCCGAGGTTTCTCGAAGTTCCCAGGTCGATGAACTTCGTGCTCAGCTTCATAATTGACTTGCCGATGCGGCCCTGAGCAGCAGCTGGGAATTAGCGGAGGAGGACAAGGACAAGGACAAGGACAAGGACAAGGACAAGGACAAGGACAAAGAAGAGGAAGAGGATGTGGAAGAGGACGAGGACGAGGAGGACGAGGACGAGGACGAGGACGAGGACGAGGACGAGGAGGACGAGGACGAGAACGAGGAGGATGAGGAGAACGAGGAGAGGATGAATCAGGGTCTTGCCTTCATTTGGAATCCCTGCTGCACAATCGACTCCCTTGTCTCAGGATCCACTAGATCGACAGTGATCCCAACCACCTGAAAGAAACGCAAGAGGAGGAGAAGATAAGAAGAGATGGGAAGAGGGAAGGACGAGGACGAGGACGAGGACGAGGACGAGGACGAGGACGAGGATGAGGACGAGGATGAAAAAGAAGAGGGAGAAAGAAGAGGAGAGAGTTGAGCGAGAGGAGTAGGTCAGCGACAGACGTTGAGAGGAGCAGGAGAGGATGAGATACCAGCTCACGTGAAACTCCCTTGTTGTACTCGTCCCACAGAGTTGTGGCACCGAAACCAACCTGAAGCATCGAGGTGAGGGAGGAGGGAAGAGAAGGAGGGGGCAGAGAAGGGAACGCGGCATGGAGGAGAGGCAGATGATACAAGAGAGTAAAGAAATGTAGAGGCGGAGAGCAGAAGAGGAGGATGAAGAGGAGGATGAAGAGGAGGTGATGGAAGTGGGTCAAGAGGAGCTGAGAGGCAGGTCAACCGTATCCCACTTCGAACTTTCTTTCTTGCCCTCCACAGGTGCGAGGATGCAGATCCAAACAGTGATCTCGTGCTTGGGGAGGAGGTGGATGTTCTCGGCGGGTAGCGACAGGTCCTTGTCCTGCCATGAGCATGAGCGACGTCAAGGAGGTCGGCGGATCCTACAGAGAAGATGAGGATCTGGTTAGCGAGGTTCGAACGGATAGAAAGGAGGACGCTGTCCGTCTCATGCACACTGACGATCTTCATCTCCACCTGAGAGCAAGTGCAAAGTCAGAAATCGCTCCCTGCTGCCCGCCACCCTCGTCTCTGCATCCTCTCCCTCCCTCCC